TATATATATATATATATATATATATATTCATGATAAAATTATAAGCTGTCAAAATTTAAATAATTTTTCTATTCTTGGTCTTTTTCAGTTTATTTTGTGAGTCAATTTTTTATTAATATTATTTTTAAAATGTTTATTATTTTTATTTATTATCTTATTGCACTTTTTGATAATTTTGTATTTAAATATTACTTATTAAATTTTCGTTTTTAACACAAATAATATTATATGAACATGATATCAGTTTTTTATGTTTCCATAATATTATTTAAATTTTTCTAAATTTTTGTTGTTTTTTTTTTTTTTGTTTTAAACCACACGAGTATAATGTAATTTATAGTGCGTATAAAAATTTTTAAACAAATATCTCATTGATCTAGAGAGCTAATCATGAAAAAAGAAAGTGTCATAGCACAAATAATAGCATCTGCTAGAAAGTTACCTCCCAATCTGCTTTCACTTGTCCTCATGACTTTACTGATTTAGGAATGCAGCTTAAAGAACGAGATCCAAAGAGTTTGCTTACGTGTGCCCTGGACTGCACGCATTTGTCAGCGTCTGGGGCTGCAACGCCCGCAAGTAGGCAACGATTTTTTCCTTTGCTTGTTTCTCTTTTTTGTTGGCTTGCTCTGTCACGTTTCCTGCACATTGATAAATTAGCCAAGCGAACTCTGCACTTGTCCAAATGGGGCTTAATGGGCCGCTGCAAATGTTTCGCAAATACAAATAGCCAAACACGTTTCACAGTGGCAACGAAAAGGGTGCGACTGAGATATACCCTGTAGCTGAAAATTGGTCGAATTTTCTTTGAATGTGACAGGAGTGGATTTGATACTCTTTATCTGATAGATCTAAAAGAGAAAATTCTGTACAAATGATGTAAAATGGATCCCATGTGACCCTTGATGCGGCTACGCATTTCGAGGGTATAGGAGCACACAAAACCTGTTCTCAGCTATATTCTAGTTGCGAGCTGTTCAACTTGAATGCGTCTCCTGCTGCCCCTCTCTCTCTTTCGCTCTCTCCCTCTCCCTCTCAGACTGCTGTAGCTGTACAACTTTTTCCACTTGCCAGTTCTTATCTGGTCACATTTGTCATACGAATCACTGAAATAAATGTCCACTTCAGCAGCAGCTTACGTTTCGGCCACTCCGTGTAGTCTCCAGCTGCAGCTATCTGCGGACAGCTGTGGTCAGGCACTGGGAGTCTTAAGTCGAGTGCCGGCCGCATCTTATGGGCAATTCTTTATAAACAGATTTTCAATTTCTTTTTGCCATTGCCCGTATCTGTCTCCACATCCGTATCTATGTCTGCATCTGTATCTGTGTCTGTGTCTGAATGTGTAATGCATAATGCGTGTATTTATGTTGGCATATTTTTCATTTCATTTACAACAGGACTTCGTTCAAGGACTTTCGATACTGTCGCGCGGCTCCGTGGAGGAGAAGCTGCGCTGGACATTCTCGCTGTACGACATCAATGGCGACGGCTTCATTACGAGGGAGGAAATGACTGACATTGTGACTGCCATATACGAGCTAATGGGCCGACTGCCGGACGAGTGTCCCGAGGAGGAGAAGATCAAGGGCAAGGTGGAGCAAATCTTTCAGGTGAGTGAGCCACATACCCGTACTGCGAATACGACCACCAGTTCCAGTTCCAGTTCCTGTTTCTGTTCCCTTCCTTTGACATCGACAGATGCTCGCATTACTTATGTTAATTATGCAATTTCAATTTGCGCTCGCCTCAAACTGTCGGCTTATTTACTCTGCATTATGCAAATCAAATTATGTATTTCTTTGTTGGCCATTTCGCCAGCTGGACAGCCAGAGCCATTCAATCTCTCTCTCTCTCTCTCTCTCTCTCTCTCTGTGTGTAGCTATCTCTCTATCTTTCTATTCGCTTTGCTTGCCAGTCACGCATTGTCATTAGCGGCCGAGGTCCTGTTGAATGCCTCTATCCGGCTTGCCCTCTATCCAGCTGCTGCAAATGGCAACGGAAGCGGCAAATGGGGCTAAGCACAGCTAGCCGCATACATGACCAGATATTTATCATTATTATGCGCAGCCTTAAAGCACACTGGCCCATATTCAATTTAAGCCCAGCCACTCACGACAGTTGAGACTCTTAAGCTCTGGAAATTGACAAAAGTTGAGTTAATTCGTGACCTGCCTTTCAACCCAAACACTTTCCACATATAATATTAGCATCTATTCAGAGATGTCCAAGTCTAGTCTGCACCTTTTTAATGTGAGCTCAACACTTTATTTCGATTTCGCACACAGAAAATGGACATTAATCGGGATGGCGTTGTGACGCTGGAGGAGTTTTTGGAGGCGTGCCGCAATGATGATGCCATATCCAGATCGATGTCTGTCTTTGATACAGCATTCTGACCATATCCGACTGACAAGGGCGATGAGTATACGGTGCGGCGACTGCGACGTAGCCGGAGTCAACAGCAAAAACAAAAGCAGCAACAGCAACAGCAACAGCAGCACAGCAAACAGCAAATGGAAACTGAGAAACGTAAGTCAAACTACAAGATGAAACAACAACAACAACAACAACAACAAATGCAACAAATACATAGCACAAGACACCAGATGGCAGCCAAGTGCTGTCATGTCATTGACATCGATGGCGCCAGCACAACAACAACAACAACAACAACAGCAACAACAACAACAAGAACAAGAACAACAACCAACTGCACTAGCCATCACAAGCACAACAACTACAAAACTAATCACAGGCCTCGAACACTGAAAAAGCGCGTCATCAATGACTACGATGAGGAGGAGGAGCAGGAGCAGGAGGAGGATGACGAGGATGAGTATGAAGACGACAACGACAGCGACGACGACGATGTTGATGACGAGAATGAGGATAATGATGACGATGATGATGATGATGATGATGACGATTATGATGAGGATGATTACGAAGCTGGCAAACAGCCGCTAATGGGCATCGCTCGACGCAATCAAGCCATTTGCCGGCACTGCCAACGGCCCCAAACGGAGCTGCATTCGCGCCAATTGCCAACGCTGCGACTGCGCAAATCCCATTCAAAGTCGCGACAGCGCAAGCGCAGCAAGAGTCGACAGCGTCACCATCAGCATCCACATCCACATCAGCATCCACATCCACATGGTCCAGTGGATGCGCGCGGATCTAGGCCGCGCTGGCCAGAGCTGAGCATGGCCAATGAGCTGGCCATACGCTTTCGCTGTCCGCAGGTGGGGCCGCAGGTGGGTCGCGATCTGCATACGCCGCAGCCCATGCACTTCCATCATCCCCAGCAGCTGGGCCAGCTCCAGCAGCAGGCACCGCCCAAGCCGGCCAAAAGTAAAAGCAAGCACAAGCAGCGCAAGCAGACAGCGCAGCAGCCGGCTGCAGCGCCCACGCCAGCACCGTCTGCACCGCCTGCACCGCTTGCACCACCTGCCCCGCCGTTGCCGCCGCCCAATGGCCTGGCGGTGCAGCCAGCGGATAGCAATGGGCATGGCAACACGGAGCTGCCCCAGACACCAGACTCGCCCTCGCTGGTAAAGGTCAGCACCTGGTATACGGTGGCCAAGCAGGGCGTCTCCTGCTAATAGGCATTTACATATTTGCAGTTGTTAACTTGAAGCCAAACGCTCGCCGGGCAGTGAGTACCTTTGATATCAGACTTGGGCTATCCAAAAATATGCATGCAACTTTGCATTCAAATTGCAACAGAAACTTCCCTCTTTATATGGAAATATTAAGTGTGAAGAGACGGTGTTTTTTATTGTTTTTTTTTTTTTTTTTTCTGGATTGAAAATGCAACTGAAAGTGTTTAAATTGATAAGATTTACATACAATGTACTTACTTATACATTTGATGTGGTTATATATATACATACATGTATATCTATATATATATTTAGACATATTGTATGATGTTTTTTTTTTTTCCCCTTTACTTAGACTTACAAACATAGTAGAACAGATTAGCAGCTGGCATGAAAAACAAAAATCATGAGAGAAAGTCCCCAAAGCTATGTGTATGTTAAATTGATGTTAAAACAAATTGTAAATTGTGTTATAGTGATAAAAGAAAAAAAAATATATACAAAAAAAAACAAAAACTAAATTTAAACTCAATTGTATAACAGTATACTATGGTAGCTATATAACCTAAACTAATTTTAATCACAAAATTCAAAAAGAAAGAAAAAAAACAGAAATAAAATATAAAATCCGATTGAAATGTTTTGTGTTTATTTTTAATTTTTTGCGTTCCATAATTGGCAGCAAAAAGTTCTATAAATTAATTCAATATTGAAAATGAAAAACTATAAAAAATAAAATAAAATAGTTATTATAGTTAAAAAATAATAAAAAAAATAAATTGACGTTAGCTGTGATGAAAATTAAAACTACTTTAAACTGTTAAAGCTAAAGGAAACCAAGACCATGCAACTAGCAACTAGAAAATCAAAGGTGTACTACTTATTATTACTTAATCAATAAGATCCAACTAAATTGCTCAATAGCTTCAACGAACGAGCTACTAATATGTACATATACATATGTAATACATATGTATGTATGTATGTGTACGAACAGAATACTTCATAACATCTAGGGCGCTGCTTTTGTATATGTGTGCATGTAACTACTTATATGTATGTATGTGTGTTGTTTGGGTGGGTGTATGCGTGTGGGTTGATTTTATATTTTATGGTATTTGCATTCATTTACTTTTAAGTTGTTTAACACTTTCGCGTGACAGCTGTAAATATTTGTTTTGTATAACTATTCAAGCGCAAAACAAAACAAAAATGTTTTAAAATATTATCAAATGACGAAATATATTTATATATTTATAAAGTACCCCGCTAAATTAAAAATCGCGCTAAATCAAAACAAAATCTATCCCCCTGAAAGAAATTTGTTCTCATTAACTCTCGATAATTTTAATTTCTCCAATATCTGGATTGTACTGCATATATATATATATGTATGTATATATCTCTGGTATGCGCAAAATAAACGTTCTTTTTTTTATTTTTAATATATTTTTGAAGAATTTATATTTAATAAATATTAATATAAATTTAAATCAGGTTTTAAATTTATCAGTTTATATAATTAATTGTTTTACAATTTTTAAGTGAGAAACTTGTATAATTTACAATTTTAGTCTGGTACAATTGGTACTACAGTAAACATTATATACAATATATACTTATATATATTTATATATGTATATTTATATGCTAGATTGCCAATAACTGTTGACTATCTCTTCATGTGTGCAAATAAATGTCTTTTGCTTGCAAACTGAGAAAAAACACAGAGAGCAACCGACTGCATCGGCTCAGCAGCAGCTTCGTTCGCGATCAGACAGAGAACTATTAATTAATTACTTGTTCTTTCTTACTACGATCGTCTATCGTATCGCTCCCTAAACGATGTTCGTTTGAAGAGCGTCACACGAGCGCTCAAAAGAACCGAAGCAGCTGGCTCAGCGACCGAATTCCCTCACTCAAAGTAAGAGGGAATATGATCCTTATAGGCTGATCACGCAAACACAGCATAAGCAATCAGATAGTTAACAGTTATTTGCGAGCAATGATATACGAACATTTATGCCTATGAATTTTGTAGGTAAACTTTAATCATAAACCTATACCCTTCAAATTTACTGTTCTCCCACAAATAAATATCGAAATGAAGATTTATTTATGGATATATGTTTTATGCCTTACGAAGTTAAAATTGATTTTCAGCCAATAATTTAAAAATATTTTACTGCAGTTGCACTTTGTTGAACTAAATGTTGTTGAAATAAGTGAACTTAAAGGCAAATATGTTAGAGTCGGTAGTGCCCGACTGCACAATGCTCGTTCACGCTTAAAGGCTTAAAGCTTACAGTGTGTAAATCATATCACATATGGTAGATAGATACTATATAAATAGATCAAACTACCACATACAAGGATATCCGATTTACAACACAAATGAGATGACATTAGGTACTCCAAGATGAATACATATTCAACATTAGCTATACTATACCCTACCAACATCAACAGACAGACAGATGGACAGGCATTACCCCTAATCAATATACTCCTTTCAACACGTGAACGAGTATAAATTTAAATGAACTTCAGCTCTGTCCGAAGCTCACATTAGTTAACTGTAAATACATATACATATATGCGTGTGTGTGTCCATGTGTCCATGTTTGTTTATATATGACTTTCTCTGTGTGTTTACCTTTTCATTCTTTCCATTTTCTTGTGTTTGTTGCATTTGTATTTGTTGAAGTGTCATTAAGACCAAAGCAATTAGAGCTCGACTGAGCTTTCAGCTGCTCAGCCACAGAGCAAAAGGTGAAAGAAAACAACAAAAAACAAAAAGAGAATAAAGAAAAATAGAATAATGAATGCAGTTACTCGTTACCTTTTGCTAACTGTTATTGCCACTGTGTTTTAGTGTATTTTCTGATATGATTTTTTCGTTGCTCTTCTTCTTCAACAATGAACACACACACACACAAACATATATATACAGCGAGACAGATGTAGACACATACATACATATATAGAGATGCATGAAATTGAAATTCTTGTATGCCAATTAAAATATATGTTTTCTTCTTTCTTTTTCTCTCTTTCTATCTCTTGCTCTATCTGTTATCTGTTCTGGCTCGTTCTGCTCGTTCCGCTGCTGTCGACTGCTTGAAACGCTGCTCTACTCAACACACACACATACACACACACACGCATACAGAAATTTGCATAGCAACAAAATGAAATATGAGCGAGTGAAATATCGAACGCGAATTGTCAAACTACCTACGAAATGGCCATAAATATGCAATTATGCTCGAAAAGTGTGGATGTGTTTATGTTTTTCACTTGTGCCACACACACACACACAGAAACACACACAGGCAAACTATTCACAATAGGCAATTTATGTCAATTGCATACAAAGCCAACATTTCGGTTGTGGCCATTGCGATTGATCGATTGAGCATACACACAGCTACACCTACACACACACACACACACACACATATATATATATATGTAGACAAATCTGTACCACACACACATGTGCATACAAACAATAGATGGGCCAGTTCTAAATGTTGTTTCGGCTCGCCCACAAAAGTATGCAACAGAATTTTCCACGACAAATGCATGCGTAATGAAAGCTTTAGACCAACCAACCAACAAAAACTAACGGTTAAATATATGAAAGGATTGCAAACCAATCTAAGCAGAAGAATACTAAACAAAAGACAAAACTATAATAACTAACTTAAGTAGAGAATAAAATGCCTATTTTGTTGTATTAAAAATTTTTGTTTATTTTTTTTTTTACTAGACTAAAAATCTGAACATCCCAAACAGTCAAAATTTCAATAACAAAAAAAAAAAAAATTAATTCAAAATAAACCCAAAGCTAAGGCCCAGTTTTACTTAATTGCGAATACAGAGCAAAAAAAAAAAAAAAAAAAGAAGAAGAAGAAGAGAAGAACTCAACTATACGAAACCTTAATGAAATTGAGGATTATTGGATATACTACTAAAAGAGCATGCGAAATAGATATCTAAATTTTATTTCAGCCAAAAAATAATATAAATAAACATAATATATCAAATTTCCGTAATTAATGTAAAATTTAAATAAAGAAGAGATGAAAGAAAAATACAAAACTCAGATAAGACCAGACATATATATATGGATATATGTATGTGTGTGTTTTAGGCAAATTGTAAGTATAAAATCAAATGATAAATCAACGTTTTAAAATCAGAAATTGGACCAGCAATGTAATGCAAAAATAAAAAATAAATATATATATAAAAAAGAAAAAATATTGAAAAAAAAAAAAAAAAAAAAAAAATTTGAGTATTAACAAAAGGAGAAAGCAAAACAAA